ACATTACTCACTGCTTAAGCACTAAATGAGAATTTGGTTTTCTACCAGTTGGCTACCTGGTGTTTGGAAGGTAAAGGAGGGAATGGTTATGGGCATGACCACTCAAAAATTCTTTGGTGGGGATGGCGGTTTCAGCAACCAGAGCTTTTCTTCAGGCTCCTGTTACCTACCTGCTGTGGACCCTACTGCTGATTCAGACAAGTGAATGATCTTCTTTTCAACTCTGCGTGGAAGGTTGCCTTTGGCTGCATGAAATTATGCTTCTTATATCAATAGAGTTGACAATTAAGTGACCTGCCCGTGTGCCAGTAGAAAAATCACTTCTATGCCCCCCAAACAGCTTTCAAAGCCTGTTTAATACTGCCAGCAGAAGTCTCTTGTAGGAGACCATGCAAGGTTTGAGGCAATAGAAAGCCGTTGGCTGGAGTCTGTCTTATAACTTCTTTTGCATATATCTCCAAACTTCTTTCTTTCATATATATCCGCAAACTTCTTTCATCTTTGTGTGGCTGAAAATAGAGCTATTTTTTCATGCTTACCCTTCTAATGTCAGTATACTTGAAGAATGGAATGTAATGTAGGAGGGAGACATCATCTTGTTCTTGTACTCAGTTTTAGTTGAATTGATTTTGCAGAGGAGGAAAGTTGCGTGCGTAGTCCTCCTCCCCATTCCAGGTTTCTTTGTGATACATTGATTTCCAGCCCTTTCCCCCACATCCCTTTGAAAAGTACTGTGTATTTAGTTCTCTAAACCCTTAGCAATAATGCAGGTATATGAGGTAGCTTGAGTAAATTTGAGAAAGGCTCTATAATTTCAACAGTCATGTAGCTCCTCATTGTAATGAAGTTCCTTGCTCCATGTTCAGGCAGCTTTCTGTGTCTTTACTGTTGCTGTACAACGCACTTCAGTCATGAAAAAGAAATGTTCTCTATGGATTGCAGAATTTTCTTCTTGATCCTTCCTTTTTTTTTTTTTTTTTATGTTCCTGTGATCTCTTTCTTCTCATCTTAGTTCTAGGTTTGAGATCTGTTTTACTTAATGTAAAATGCCTGGCAAGAGCAGACTGAACAGAAACTGACAAGACAGACTTCTGATCAATCATGTTACAAAAAGAAGAGTAATCAGACTAGAAGAGGAGCAGAGGAAGGACTGCTGTGGGAATGCAAAAGAAAAATGGGGTGAAGTCCATTTGAAGAACCTAGTTTGAAGATCCTGTAGTTATCAGAAATAATCAAATGCTAGAACTGGAAGCCATGTCAGTATGAACAGTGCTAAAGCTAGTTGTCCTGGTGCGATGCTCAGATCAGCTGATATCTCCATGGTGTTTATGAGCTACTGCATGCAACTGGCACTTTGCTTTGTTTCTTGGAATAGATTGAGGATCTCTGCAGCATATGGCAGAAGGGTGGTCACAGCATTGTTTTCTCTTTTGTGTATATTGAGCTGTTGAAAACCAGAAGATGCCAATGCCTCTCTTGTTGCTGCCACTACCATTCTAGCTTATGTTTTGCAAGCACAGAAAGAGGCAGACCAAAAGACTATTCTGTACATGTAAGACTACAGTCCCCTGTACTGTGTTGTGATCAGCTTCGCTTTGGATCCTTAGAGTCAAATGCTAAGTAGCTACAACTTGCAAACAGTGTCAGTGCATGGTTCTGCTGCAGTGTTTCTTTCAAACAAAAGCATTTCACACCTGTTGTCATCTAAATGTTCTTCAACACGCCCTCATTTGATGCACCCTCAGGCATCCAGGAACATCAGGAAAGATACTGATTACATCTGACTTACAGTGCACTCTCAAATCTTGGCATTCTTGTTTACATAGCTTTGGGGTTCTGCCATGTCAAAGCAGGCAGGCATCAGCTGACACAGATACAGATTCACTAGAGGTGCAAAGCAGTGAGGTAGGGGTATTCACAATTAACTAGTGGCTTTTAATGGAAGCTGAGCCATGGATTCCCCCTGTGGGTTTGAAACTGCCAACAAAACAAAGTGCCAGGCTTATGTGACACTTAATGCAGTACTACAGTGCAGTGCCCAGTAACCTTTGCTGTGGCTCAGATGCCCTTGCTCTAGATACTGGAAAACAGAGAAGATCATCATTGCCCCAAGTGTAACTATCAGTCAGATGAAACAGAGATTCCTTGATGTCATCAATATCAGAGCAGCCTCCGAAGAGCACAAAGACAATCTCCTTTGAAGTATATACTTGTTTTTGCTGATGTTGGAAAACAAGTTGTTTGGTTTCCGTACAAGGGAGTGTCTGATCATGAGTCACTTTTATACAGAGAAAATCAAGATGCTCTATGAAATTGCTCAGTGTCAGAAGAAAGCCATTTTAGCAGAGCTTTCCCAGTTACAGACCTAAACCCATCCTTTTCAGGCACCTCCTGAAAGTAGTATATTACCTTGCTAACAGGCAAAATGTCATCCAAGGAGATGAGCTGCAATAGGCAGCCAAGCTACCATGGCCAGGACCATGAAATGCGTTTGTTGAGGCCAAAGCTCCTGGAAGGAAGAATAACAGAAGTGCTATATCCCGATTTTCTGAGGCTACCACTTGCTGATTGGATAGACTGGATCTGCCTTAGCCCTTATCAGAGTTAATGTCAAGATCAAAAGTTAGCTCAATGAAGATAAAATTTGCAGCATGAGAGAATTCATTATGTAATTAAGTTACTGAAGTACAGAATAAGCAAAGCATTGATACTATGTAGGTGTGGGTAAGAGTGTTGTGAGGTAAGATCCCGAGGCACTCACTGAATCTGAACAGTTTGCCATACAGTTTAAAGAAAACTAAAGGTCCTAATTTCTGTTTGAAGCTATAGGCTATTCCCAATACATTAAAATTCCTCCCTCAAATTCTCTAGAAATAGTTCCACATCCCTAGAACGTACCACAGGACTTTGATTGCTGCGTGATCTTTTCAGAGATCCTGAGGGAACTAGCATATCTCCATAAAAGCATGTAAAGGCTGTTCCTATACTGAGGCAGAACTGGCTCTGCCTGCCATCTTCTGTGATATAGAGGATTCTGGCTGCAACAAAATCAAAGAAATTCCTACCACAGAGGTGTGAATGGGGAAGCATGGTATTGGGGTATTACTATTCCCCAGTAACCTCCAACCTTGTCTTTTATCCCCAGTTAAAATGTACTGTCTCGCAGCTGTGTATCTGCATTCTGAAGGCCTCCTTCACTCGAGGAGTGAAACATGTATGTTATTACAGTATTTTCTTTCTCTTTTACAGTGGCTAGCAAAGTTTTTCCAATTCCCTTTCTATTCAGACATATGGGGATATATGGCAGGTGAAGGCTTTTGAAGTAGAGTACTATCTACCCTGGAAACATGGGGGAACTTTTACACGTGTATGCACACACACCTCCTACACCTACAGCCTTGTTTGTGCCCGTATGAAAAGAAATGCTTTCTTGTGGTCAGTGTGTCCTGTTCGCATACATCACACATTCACGGCATCAAACTGTGATCAGCAGGATAAGGCTGGAAAGGCCAGAAACCTGCTTTCTGCTGCAGAACATTGTGGTGGGATGCAAGACAACAAAAAAACTCTCTTGGAGACTGCTGAAGAGATGTATGCTGTATAGGTAGTGCTCACCATCCTCTGAGGGGCAACAGAATGCTAATGCAGTGGATAAAAGCCACCTTTTAAGGTAGATAGAGCTAAGCTAGGATCTACCAGGAGCCTTTTGTGCTGTATTTCTGCGTTCTGCTACTTCATTAGCAGTACTTGGTGTAACTTACGTAAGTGCTGTGACCCTTTATGGCCTGTGAGCATGAGGCTTCTTCCAGTTTTTTGCCTTGTCTGCTTCTTCTTGATTAAGCGACCTGTAGCAGACACCCACTACAATGTCACCCACCATGAGCTACCCTCTAATTCTGACCCATAAACTGCCAGCTGACCCATTATCTGTCCCAAGGCACAGCTCCATGCACCTCAGTTGCTCTCTCTCCTTGATGTCCTGGCCCATCCTTCATCAAGAGCTGGGTCCATCCATGGCAGCTGACACCCTGCCCCAGGCTAGTGCACCTTGTTGCTGTGATCCCAGCCCAGGACCTCTAACACCCACGCTGCGTGCCATAGCATACAGGCACTTACTGAGAACCGTTATGGACCACTGTGAACCACCAGCATTAAGGCATTAGATCCTGCCCAAGATCTCTGCCCTAGCAGCAGAGCAGGTGCAATGGAAGCCTACCAACCCCATAAAGACTTCTTTCCTTGCACAGCACTTTCCAGTCCTAACAAACCACTTGTCATCAAGGGGTAGATACCTCACCAATGGCTCAGAGGCACCTGACCCAGCACCTCAGTTACAAAATGCTATACTCAGACGGGTATTTGAGCTGAGCTGTGTTTTGGTGGTGTGTTTCCCAGGTGTACCAAGAGCACAGAATTTGGCAAAACCATGACCTGAGCTCTGTATAGCACTCATTAGCAGCGGGCTCAGCCTTTGGTGCTGTGTGGTGCATACTAACAGCTTGTTTTCCTTGTTTCAGGGCATGAGAACTGCATCCACGCACGCTGGCATCCTTGTCCTTTTCTCATGTGGCGTTTGGAGCCTGCACCACAGCACCTTTGCCAGGCACACTGGCTGTCAGTGCTTGGGGCTCTGGGGCAGCCCACAAATGACCTGAAGAGGTTTTGGTAGGTTACAGGTGATCAGATTTACAAGGGGAGGAAAAAAAGAAGAAGCTATCAGTCGTTCAGAAGACTGGTACAGGATTGGTGATAACCAAGATTTCGCTTTTCTTATTGTGCAGATACCTTTTCCATAACTTCTCTTTTGCCTTGAGGTGAGACAGGCTGCCCACTATGCTGGCAATATGATGTTGTGGAGCTGGCAGCCTTTCTTTTTCACAGTCCCACGCTAAATGCAAGGTAAGCGGGGGGGGAAATCTGAAAAAGGAGAAAGTTGTGCTATTCTGTTTTCCTTCCCCCATTTTCTGCCTGCTGTCTTCCTTGGCATGGCAAAGTACATGCAGGTAAAACCCTCTGAGTCTCAACTAGCAAAATCAAGAGAGCCGCAGGCTCAGTCAGTACCTATCAGCTCTAATTTCTCTTTTATCTTTCCCCCTAATCCAGACAAGTCTTACATGTTTTCTGCTCCATTCTTTGGGTCAAGAATACACTGGTTAATAGCCAATTATTTCATACCCTAAGGAAGTTTTGGGAAAGAAGTTCCTGGGGAGACTCAACTTGTTTTAGGAAATCAGGCTAATATTCAGTAGGTGAGACATTTCCGTTTGCTTTCCTTCTTAATACTGTCCCATCCCAGCACAAGGCTGAATTTATTGCTATAATAGGTATTGTTCAGATAGAGCATAATAGTTTCCCTGATTTTATTTTTCTTCTTCTCAAAACGTGAAAGTTTAGCCAGGGCATTGCAGCAAAATTCCAGTTAGGTAATTAAATTCTGCTTACTGAAAATACCCCTTTTAGAATCTGTCCCAGAATAGAGTCTGCTTTTCCTGTGAGCACTTTAAAAGGACTGATTCATTTTAACTTCACAGCTATCCAAATTCTGAAGCCTGCTGAAATTAGCTGTGACTGCCTAAATCACAATGTGCAGTTCCACTTGAGGTATCAAAAGGTACATTTTTGCATGCTTCATTGTTGTATGAATTCTTGTTTAGATATAATTCACATAGACACAACCTATGTAACAAATCAGTCAGATTCTGCTGACTGGCAGAAGTAAATTATTTGTACAGGAAAAGCAAACACTATTTAAAACTTTATTTTTATTAACATGTAGAGTAGGCCATGAACAAATTCAATTTGTGCATCGGGGCCATTTTGCATGTTCAAAAATACGATAGTGAAAAAAAATAAAGGCTGAAAGATAGTCTGAGGTGTGCAGTCTGGAAATGCAATCCAGAACAGATGTTCCACAGTATAAATTACTGCATTTTTTTTTTTTTAATTTACTTGTGCTACTTTAATTTATTATTTTTATTCACTTGATAGATGGCATTTAATTTCACTATGAGAGCTTCAGGATGAGTGTTTGATGCTGATGGCTCGAATTTATACCTGGGCAGAAAGCCAATGTGCCACAGCCATGTTCCACTTATGCCCTCCAAGCTACATTTAAGTGGCCTTCTGTTGCCCTTGGGGTATGTTTTACACAGGAAGCTTAAAGCCTTATGCAGGCCTGCAGCTTACTCACTAGAGCGAGTGAAAGATAGCTTTTCCTCTCTTCTGATCTCTTCAGGAAGAAAATCAAATAATTGGATTACTGGCCCTTTGATTGTGCTCAGTACAGATGGTTCAAAATCCCATTGTATTGGACCTCTGAGATGAAACGTAAATTGATAAAGAAAACAAATGTTTTAAATTGGTCTAATATGTCAATAGTATGTTATTACCTGATTAAGGAATGGCTATGACTGGTCTTCTGAATAGCTAAATATATGTAAGACACCTGCTGCTAGACTGGCACATGAACAAAACAAATAAAATAAGAAGGGTCCACCCACAGGAGCCTACTAGAGGCATAAATTACTGCAGATTATCCTCTCTTGCTTATTTTTATCTCTGAAATAGGAAATCAAAGCAAACAGATCAATCCATTGCAGGGTTAAAATTAGAATTACTGAAGAATCTATGCATCATCATATGAAATATTTGGGCTGATAGAGTAGAACCTGAATGTTTTGTTCTACTTATGTTTTCATGTGTATTGACTTGAACTTCGAGTTTCCCAGTTCCTGTTGTTTTTTGTTACTTGCACATATGTTTGTTTTATGTATTTATTTAGGACTAAATTTATTTGTTACACTGCGGTTTTAAAACATAATATCAGCTAAGCCTGGGAGAAGCATCCTAACAGATTTTAGACTACTTTATTGATGTCACTATTCTGTATATTCACACATGCATGCAATGATCCAAAATATTTTGAGGCAAATCATTCCATTGTGCAAAATAAATAGGTCTGTGTGAAAGCATAACTGGGGTAAATCCCTATTCTTTACACAGTGGAGAAAACTATGAAGAAAATAGCCAAAGGTTTGATTCTTACATTTTATGTTAGACTGGTTTCTCTACAATGTTTCTTGTTAAAATCATTATCTTACTGTCCTTTTGTATTTATGTGTCTACAGAGCAAGAAATAGGTACTAAAATGAGCCTGTCATCATGACTGTGTGTGCATTTATTTCACTCCACAATTTTGATGAATACAGTCTGTACTGGGAGCAGAGGGTTGTAACTTTAGGTGATGTTAGTGAGTAGCTCTGGTGTTCGGGGGAATTTTTTGCTGGCCAGGTATCTGAGTGGAAATTCCAGTGACTTGGGTTTAGAATAGAGCCTCAAAACTGACTAATAGAATTCACATTAAATTAGAACTAAGATATATTTTTGTAGCTTGTTGAGATTCTAGCACATATTTGTATTAATAAGATAATAAATGCATAATGGATGTGACACTTTTACCCACCTGAACATTTTCGAGTTAAAAAGATTGATAGACAACGCATTCCATTAGTTCTCCCTTTTACAACTAATAAACTTCCAGTTCATTAAGTTATTACATGTCATTCCTCATCTCACAAATAGAACCCATAATTCAGTTTTTCCCAGAGCTGCACATTTTTTAAGTCTACGGGCTAAATTAACAGAGCACATTTTGTCAATAAAGCTTCTGTTTGGTGGGGGAAGGAGGGGACAGTTAAGCAAAGCAATATGAAATGCAAGCTATTTTTTGTGTCAGAGGTCATTTGTTCGCTTCAATATTGCTTTTATTCTATTTATACATTCACTAAATGATAATTATTATGGAAAGCCCATGGTTAATCACTGCATTATGTTTAAAATGTTTTATATTTTGTTGCAGACTCTTACACTTGCAAATCTTTAGAGTTATCTTGAACAGTAAACTGTCCTTTTGCAATGAATCCTGGACAATCTATTAGTTCAGCTGTGCATTTACTGAAAGATAAAGGCTTTCTTCTGTGAGCAGTGGGAAAGCCACAGAAGCAAACAAAAATCATCCATATTCTGTAGTCCTGCACCAAAAGATGTGTCACTTCCTGAGCCAGAATTGCCCATTGCAGATGCAGGCAGTGAAACCTTCTGCATGGGAAGTTATATAAGACTAAGTTGTGCCCTATACCAAGTTCCTAACACTGCCTTTCTCACCATGACTTGAAGTGGGATTACTGTGCTCTTTGTTGGGTATAATATATGCATCTATTTGTAAAAAATACAACCTAGTGATAAGATGCTTGCCTAGAGAGTGGGATAGTGCAGTCCAGGGTCTTAGCAGCTTGCTGTGATTTAAAACCATTTCTGCTGTCCAGAAAAACAGGCAATTGTGATGGGGAGAAAAATGCAGTCTACCCTTTGCTCTCCCAGCCCCAGCAGTTAGGTGGATGCTCAGATAAGGGTCCCAATGGGTTGTAACTAACCTCCCCCATGAGACAGCAGTCTGTGAGGAGGGAGTGAGGGTGAGCGCCGGAAGAGGAAGCGGGACAAAGAGGGGCCATATTGCAGCATGTTTAGCTCTATTTTGGGGTTGAGGAGGCAGACCCTGCAAAGCTTTGCAGTGCCTTCCTTGTGGGGGAGTTGTTATAACCCTGGGGAGACTCAGAGCCTGCCTTGTTCCCTCATCTCCTGCTCTTCTGATTGAAACCTACCTGCTTTTTTGCTCTCAGTGGGAATTAGCAGCTGTGAGCAGTCATAATTTTCAACAGAGGGAGAAAAAGTCATTCCCTGCCCCAGACTGTCCCGGTGGGGTATGTGGTTCAATTTGCTGCAAGCATGCTAGCAATTAGAATCACCTACATAGAAAAATGGATGCTAAGTCAGTGTTAGTCTGAATATGGAGAGGAATGAAAATGATTAGCACTGAACAGGAATATTCAAGCCTGAACACTACTGGGAAGGATGTGAATAAAATTTCAACTGGTCTGGATCTGTCCAGAGCAGTATCACATTGTAATATGGTACTTTAATAACAGCTAGTTCCTCTTCTCATTAAATTTGTAGTTAACAAATGTACAGGTGATTGTTTTCAACTAAAGAAATAATGTTGTCATTGGAAAACACTTTTTTAAAATGGGGAGTTGTAAATGACAACAATATAATGGTGTTACAGTTTACAACAATTACAGACTGTGAATGAGAGAACAATGGAAAATGAAGTGGAGAAATGGGCCTTTTAAGAAATGGAAAAAGTAACATATGAAAGGGGAGCAAAAAGTTTTTAATAAATCCTTTTCCCAGAGATCACTCAGAACAAGTCTCCTGCAGAAAAAACAGTCTTTGGTGGAGAAACAATTAGTGTATGTTCAGTCTCTGCAACAGTCTTGCAAAGCTACAGTGGAGTATACATCTGTAGATCCAGTTGTTGCTCTCTCTTGGGCTTATATCCATTCAGACTTGAAATCCCGCTTAGAATACATCCTGACTGCACCGTATGAGAATCATGCTGCCTAGACTATGTTATTGCCTTAAGTTAACCTCTGAAACTGTGGCTGTCTAGACCATCATGGAAGTGAGTTGATAATGCTTTTGCTTTATCAATGCATTTATAGAATCAGATTTATCTAGATAGCTAGATAGTGAAATATTCTAACAAACAGAGTTTCTTAATCCACTGTCACTCTGTACTGTGATTGTAGCGTGTGTAATTTGATTAGTCATTTATAACTTTAGTACATCATATATAAAAATAACCAGTGAGCTGAAAATACTGGAAATGTTCAGAAAAACTGGCAATGCAGGCTGAGAGATGTGGGTCTTCTTTGCACAGAAATTAGTAACTGCTAACAGCTGGAGTCTAGCCTCCAAACTTCTAGCAAGGAGTGACTTAATTTACGAGCTGACACCTCCTAAAAAGCCCTTACACTGAATTTATCTAGTACTTCTGAGCTCTTGCTTGATGTGAAAGAAAAAAAGCTATTATCTTTAAGCTTGTTGCTTTTTTATCAGGGAAGATTGTAATGAAAAAGCTTAACTAATCAATGTTTTCTACTAATTAGGTGAAAGTGGTTTTTTCCTCAGCCAGTAGTTTCTGTTATGTGTCACTCCTGAACTAGTAGGTAGCATCCATGACTAGTGCTATCCTGCCTTAAGTCTTTTTTCTTTTTTTTTTTTTTTTTCCCAAAATCTAAGAGGATATTGACTGCTAAAGCATTTATATTCTGTGGGCAGCATTGAAACAGACACTTGAGAGCTCCATGTTGTTTCTGTAGTTCCAGAACTGGAATAGATATGCTCAGCC